CCCATCAGGGGTAGGTGAATGTAGCCCTGAAATTTCTCCACTGAGCTGTGATGGGTGCTGTTCCGGCAGCCCCAACTTGAATGCTGCTGCTGCTTCTGAGCTCACTGCATTTGTGCACAGCCAGGAGAACCTGTTTTTGTTATTAAGGAGATTACCTGTTTCTGTGCCCATTTCTTTCTACTTTGAAGTTTTCAAGAAACAGGACGTACATTCTCTATCTATTAATATCACACAGCTTAAAATACTTGAAGTAATGTGTACTCCAATTCTTCTCAATATAGTTTGAAGGTAAAGGGAATGAATGTTCATAGTGATGCAGTAAAGGTTGTAATTAATTCACCAGTATTACTGTCACAGACACACACACACACACACGCACACACACACACACACAACTACCACCTTGCAACTGCCTGCTCTGTAAATCCAGTCGGTCCTATCAGACAATGATAAAGTCTGAAGGGAAAGGTTGAAGAAGAGTAAGTGCTAAAGTAAATTCTTTTTTTTAAAGATTTTTTTTATTTATTTGAAAGGCAGAGTTGCACACAGAGGAGAGAGAGAGAGAGAGAGAGAGAAAGAGAGAGAGAGAGAGAGATAGGTCTTCCATCTGATGGTTCACTCCCCAGATGGCCGCAACGGCCGGAGCTGCGCCATTCCGAAGCCAGGAGCCAGGAGCTTCCTCCAGGTCTCCCATGGGGGTGCAATGGCCCAAGGACTTGGGCCATCTTCTACTGCTTTCCTAGGCCATAGCAGAGAGCTGGATAGGAAGTGGAGCAGCCGGGTCTCGAACCAGCGCCCAAATGGGATGCCGGCGCTTCAGGCCAGGGAATTAACCCACTGTGCCACAGCGCCAGCCCCTAGAGTAAATTCTTGATAGAGATTTTAAGTAACAAGAAGTGGCTTATAGACTGTGACTGTAGGGACTAAACATTAAGGCAAACTTTTGAAAAGCTCACATTGAGCATCTTGACTTGCACTGTGAAGCTTCTGCATAAACACTCTTAAACTGATTATAATTTATCATCCTAGCTGGGGATAAAGAAATGTGAAATTATATTTACCCTCTCTTTTGCATAGTTATTCGTTATGATCTCAAAAAATAAAAAATAGTCCCCGAACATCCACAGTATGTGGCAGTACTACCAAAGCAAGTGAGAACCACACTTCTCCTGACTTCCCTAGCGTACACACGTGGTTCTCCACTGCTTGGCTTGTCCAGATGCAGAGCCACAATGCACTGATGTGCACCTCTGTTCCCTGCCAGCGGGGGTTATTTCACCTGTTTTCTTCATTCAGTCTGTTAGAGACTCATGACGTGCTCTTTCGTATTATGTGAGTCTCCTATGAAAGATCTTCCAGTTAGAAATGTGGATGTGGCTAGGTGGATGTGTTTATATAATCAAGAATCTTTGCCACAAGCATTTCTCTGTAGATTGATTTTAGGGTTGACTGGCCCATGGTCCACCCCCTAAATGTACCTGAGGTTTAATGGGTTACTAGGTCCCACAGTGTGCTCCACCTTGCCTTTCTTTGGTTGATCTTCTACTTTATTCTTTTGCTATGCATTTTGACATTCCATCTGGTATTCAAAGCCTTCCAGAGGGCCACTCATAGGACAATCTGTTTTCTTGACAGCTGGAGGTTTTGGCTAGTCTGTGTCTTTCTTCTTCAAACACATGGGTATTTTCTCTCCCTTCTTCTTGATGGGAATAAACTTTCAATAACTGCATATGAAAAGATACTTTTGCCTGGGCCCTGGCAACCCTTGAAATGCCAAACTTCAATCCTCAACCTACCCTGGAATTTGTGAGCAAGAGCCCACAAGTCTTGATGAAGCATTCAGCTAACAGGATTTTCTGTTATTTTGAAACTTCTTATTTATGGTTCAACGCATCAGTTATTTCTCAACAGAATGTGAGATACTTGTTAGGTACTCAAACAGTATTTGTTCCATAATCAATCTTTACTCCTGGGTTCAGATGATAAAAATTTCAGCTTACATTGTTGAGATGTAATACAAGACAAACCATGTCTGATCTTAGTTTTATTGTTATATTATTGTTATTGTATCAAAATATATGGAGTACAGTCTCGTTCAGCATATTTAGAAATTTGTCTTTAACGTTCTGTTTAACTTTTTATTTGTAAGATACATTATCAGTTGTCAACTTCATAAAAAATTTTAATGTTCAGGAGTTCCTATAATATATATTAAGAAGGGTGTTTTTAAAAAGATTTTAAAAATTTATTTGAAAGGCAAGGTGACAGAGATACATAGAGGGAGAGGCAGAGATAGAAAATGATCTGCCATATACTGGTTCACTCCCCAAATGGCCACAACAACCAGAACTGGGCACGGCTGAAGCGAGGAGCGCAGACTCCATCTGGATCTCCCACATGGGTGGCATGGCCCCAGGTACTTGGGCCATATTCCATTGCTTTCCCAGATGCATTAGCGAGGAGCCAGACAGGAAGCAAAACAACCAGGACTCAAACCAAATCTCCAATTTGCGATGCCAGCATCACAGTGGCAATTTACCTTGCTGTTCCATGATGCTGGCCCCAAGAAAGGTGTATTTGTGATCAATGTTACCATTTACATTCTTTTCATTGGCTAAACTATTACAGTAAATCATAATTTAAATATTTTATAGGAACTTTATCAATGTTTCAATAAGTAATGTATAAAATGTTGCACATAAGTTGATTTTGTTATTAAAAAATCAAACAGTGGGGCAGGTATTTGGCATAGCTGTTCACACACTATTTGTGATACCCACATCCCATATGGGAAGTTCATTTTTTTTCCATAGGGAGAAGTGGTTATTATTCATTTATTTGCCAGGACCAGAACCGGGGCCCATATGGGATGCTAGCGCCGCAGGCAGAGGATTAACATACTGTGCCGTGATGCCAGCCTCATCAATTTTATATTTTAACCCTTTATCAAATAAGAAGCCACATGAACTTTCCCCTAATTTATACATTTTATTATGTGAATATTAATAAGCAGTTACCAAGTGTCAATTCTATTTATCAAATGATAAAATATTTTGATTTTTCATGTAAATTTTATTTTACCTTTTAAATGCAAATGGCATAAATAAGTGCAGTCCTGAATGAGACCACTCAGTGACAGCATCTACTGCTCTTTTGGAATAATTATTTTTAATGGTGCGTGCATATGTGTATACATACATGCATAAACTCATATCTATACGTATGCATGTATGAAATCAACCCCCTTCTTATTGCTTTAAGAACTTATGGAGGTCATGACAGAAGCTAGGTAACAGAAATCTGTCAAGTCCCAGAGGTGATTGGACACTAGCAACAATAACAGACTAGGTGGCTTTACTTATTTCTTTGAGTGTTCTTCCTAGGAATATGTTTTTCAAAAACCATTTAAAAATCATAATTAAATGGTTTAATGGTTGAAGAAACTCACACACCCAGAGCAATGTTGATCATTGGTGGCTGAAACCGTGCGTTTATCCCGTAATGACTAATTAATGGAAAGCTTGAAGGGACCCCGGCATTCACAGAGTCACAGACATCATGAAGAGCTTTTACGAAAATGAAATGAATGCTAGAACCGCATTTCTTAAACATTAATAAGTGAATGAATAAACTAGTGATTTTGTTAAAATGCAACTTTTACTGAGTAGATCTGCAGTGGGAATTTTATTTCCCACAAGCTACAGATGCTGCTGTTGACGACCATGCTTTAAAGAATGCAGCACTAGCTAGAACAGGGGGAGGTCTCTATTGGGTAGACCCAGGCTAGAACTGCCCTGCTCAACAATTCTAAGGTTAACACACCATTGCAAAAATTTATCCACAACTATGACTGTAATATGTAATATGAATACATAAGAACATACAAAAGTTTAATAATATGGCCTCATATATTATACACTACAATCAACAGAAGATGCTGATACAATGGCATAATGTGGAACACTCAATTTAGTCCTAGATTTTATGTTACACAGAAGGTTAGTGCACATTAATAAATCCATTTTGGTGAATTTTCAGGGATATGCATTTGGGATTATAATAGATATAGCAAAACCTCAAAGACAGCTTTTATTTATTTGGTAAGACTTTATGGTGGATAGAAAGAGTTCCACTGAGACCAATACTACCCTGCCACCTATAAAGCATTAAGAATATTTGAGGCCAGCACCACGGCTCACTAGGCTAATCCTCCACCTGCAGCGCCGGCACACCGGGTTCTAGTCCTGGTCGGGGCGCCGGATTCTGTCCCGGTTGCCCCTCTTCCAGGCCAGCTCTCTGCTGTGGCCAGGGAGTGCAGTGGAGGATGGCCCAAGTCCTTGGGCCCTGCACCCCATGGGAGACCAGAAGAAGTAACCAGAAGAAGTACCTGGCTCCTGCCATCGGGATCAGCACAGTGCGCCAGCTGCAGCGCACCGGCCACAGCGGCCATTGGAGGGTGAACCAACAGCAAAGGAAGACCTTTCTCTCTGTCTCTCTCTCTCACTGTCCACTCTGCCTGTAAAAAAAAAAAAAAAAAAAAAAAAAAAAAAAAAAGGAATATTTGAGCAGTCAGGCTTAGCTACTATCTTCTGCACTAATGGCATTTGAAAGAATGCATCCTTTGACCTTATCACAGTCAAGTATAACTTTTGTAGATTTAAATAGCAGATACTCAGTTTATTTTCTTAAGATTTTATTTATTTATTTGAGAGGTAGAGTTACAGACAGTGAGAGGGAGAGACAGAGAGAGAAGTCTTTCTTCCCTTGGTTCACTCCCCAAATGGCCGCAGCAGCCGGAGCTGCGCTGATCCAAAGTCAGGAGCCAGGTGCTTCTTCCTGGAATCCCATGTGGGTGCAGGGCCCAAGAACTTGGGCCATCTTCTGCTTTCCAGGCCACAGCAGAGAGCTGGATTGGAAGAGGGGCAGCCAGGACTAGAACTGGCGCCCATATGGGATGCCGGCACCACAGGCAGAAGATTAACCTACTGTGCCACAGCGCTGGCCCATATACTAAGTTTTCAGCAAGCCTCACACCTAATTACATATGACAAGTTTCAACTAGAAAATTAACAACATATTTTCTCACATTAAGAAATAATAGGCTACTAATGCAAAGAAAGTCACCAAATTTTGGAAAGCACATCAGTCTGGGACCGATGATCACTCAAGAACTTAGCACTCTTTATTAATGAAAAATAATGTATTATTTTTAAAAATCAGCATGTTGCCTTTTGACATGGATGATTGCATTTAATATCCATAACAGACATATACGGAGTTGATTCTTTACTGTTTTGTTTTTATATGTGGAGACTGGAGTATCAGTGAGATTAAATTACGTGCTCCAAATATTAACACCAGGAATTAGGAGAGCTGGAACTTGAATTTAGTCTGACTAAATATTTCACATCAGACACTGTAGAACTTCCATTGATGCAGCACTGTTCATTCAAGTATTTATTGATTGGTTTTCTTTTTTATTCATGTATCTGCTGGTTTTTATTAGCTCTGCTAGCTTTTCCAGTGTGACAACAGAGTGGGCTGTGAGGGTGTGGAGATTTTGCCAAGGTAAGCGCTGGATTCATTTAGAGGTGGAGCTCAGTAGGCAAATCCCAAGAGGACCCTCGTCAAGACACACACAGCTGGTAGTTAAGTTTGGTCTAAATAGAGTGTTATGCTACTTAAAGGCATTCAGATATTCTAAATTGAAAGATTTCTGTCATGTCTAACATTTCCAGAAATATGTATGTAGGAAACGATCATCAGGAAGCTTCCATAGTTCCCAGTGCACCCAGTTGTCTGCCAACATGCTGCATACCGAGAAAGACCAGAAGCTTGTCTTCCTGCCACCTCAGTGAGAGTCCCCAATGATCTGAGCTAAGACAGCTCAGGAACAGTGCTGCAGTGCCTAGGAACTTCGAAATCATGCAGAGAGGGGTGTGAAGTAGGTGGCTGCACGTGGGTACCTTTAAATCCGAGTGCAATCCTAGCCAAGGCCAGCACAGCTCTATTTTCACCAAGTTCTTTTATAAAATGCAATGGTGCCTAGTGCAAATGTATTTAGCATCACTTTTACTGAGGAGCTGTATACCCAATATTAAAAGATACTTTTGAAAAGTACATTTGGTACAAGTCTAAGAACAGCAATTAAACTATTTTATATTTGGATAACAAATTCATTTATAATGTTTGGTGCATTTCAAAAGCTGTAATTTAATTTCCTTTACAAGATTATAAATATCAAAATCTGAAAAATGATTGGGAGTACTTGAGGATGCTAAGATTGAAAGGCAACTTTTGGCAGGGCTTCCATGATTGTATTTACTAGCTGTAAGTTGTTGAAGGAAAGACAACTTGGAGATACAGCAACCTTTGTGTCTCAGTGGAATTACAGAAGCAAATAATACACAATGAATAAGTTTCTGAGCTAAAATTCTTTTTAAAAATATATTCAGAGAGACATGGAGATAAAGAGAGACAGAAAGGGAGTTCCTATCCACTGGATCACTCCACAAATGCAAAGGTTGGGCTGGATCCAGGCTAAAACTTGGGGCAAGGAAGCCCACTGGAATCTCCCACATATGTGGGAGGGACCCAACTACTTGAACCATTATCCTTGTCGTCCAGGTTATGCATTATTGGCAGGGAGCTGGAAGTGAGAGTGGAGACAGATTTGGGATGGGGGCGTCACAAGTGACATCTTAACTGTAAGGTTCAAAGTCGGCCCCCAGGGTAAAATCCTCAATCAGGAGAATGTTATCAAAGAGACAAGATGGTTCTTATTCACGGGCTATTTTAAGTTTCTTATGTGTAATCAATTTTATGTGAGGAATAGTCAAAGCCTTAATTACTCAGAGGCTAATTATCTGCCTCATCAGACTCTCAAGGCCTTCTTCCCTCCCAGGTTTCCTGCTGTCCATCACTTGCTGCTGGTGGCCGTGCCTGCTGTGGATTGACAGAGTGGGGAGCCAGTGGTGGGAGCAAGTACACAGAAGGGAGACACAGAGCACTCAGATTTACCCTTCGTGCTACCTACTGCTGTACTGAAGAAACAGCAAATGGTGAAGATGACGGGTGGTTGAGATGAATCTTCAGTTGTTCTGTGACTGTCCTTTGAAACTAGTGGAGATTATTTATTCTAAAATAGATTTAGAAAAGAGTACTGTTTATAAAGATGCAAAATACATTTCATAATTCCCATCAGCAGTGCTAAGAATTCAACTCAAATAAAACGTTCCTACCTGTGGTTTGAGTCGGCACATAGGAATCTAAACATCTGTTGTTTATAGTCAAGATATTTTTACTCAGAGAATATTAACCAAGTCAGTACTTTTTAAAAATAAGTTAGTACAAGTTGTGAATGTTTTATTTTATACTGCTATGTCATTTTTATATTTCTCAGTGAGAAAAAGAACTGTCATAAATTATTTTCAAAAATCTTTATTATTTTTTTCTTATGCATGGAAACAGTTGCCTAAACAATGAATTTTTTTTTTATTTTATCATTGATTCTAGTGAACAAGTCAGTAAATTGGAGCACAAAGTTGAAAATGAAAGACTTTAGCACGTAACCACTCTGTCAATAGGGACTACAAGTCCTTCTATGATACAAAGCAACGTTCTACACCTTTAGAGGATGTGGGTATTTCCACTGTGATACAAGCAGTGTCTGAGAGCCCTATGACGTGCATAGCAGATGAAAACTCTTGTCATGTGACAACATTCCTTCTATTTAGAAATGATGGATTTGTTGATGGTTACTAAAACACACTATTATGACAGGAGCTAGTCTTTTGAGTTAAAGGGTCTGTAAACCAAATGATCACAAGATTCATGACATACAGCAATCACTATTTTGTTCATATCTCATGGGTGAGAAATTCAAGGTGGGCACAGGGAGCTGGATTGTCTCTGTTCCATCAGATCTGCAGCACCATCAGGAAGACATGGAGACTGAGAGTGGAAATTCTGTGCAGGTTCACTCAGTCAGGTGTTTGGTCGTAGACACAGAGAGGGCCACAGCCGGGTGGAAGCTGGGCTGCTTGGACACCTGTCTTTATGTGGACGGGTGTTGTCAGCTCTCCACCAAGGTGTCTCCTGGGTAACAGCCTCCAATGCGTTCTCTTTGCTAGAAGTGAGGCATTAAGGCCAGCCTACACTCAAGCAGAGGAAAATGACATGCCATCTCTTTAAGATGGATGAGTCACACATTTTGTGCAATGTTTTCAAGATATCACATATTCCAAGGGGGAAATTCATCTATAATGAGAAAAAATTATGGGACCAAAGAGATGAGATACTCTTGAGGCTCTGTAAGTTGTGTTCTTTTCCATCCTGCTAAAAAAGAAAAAGCAATTGCATGACATCACCACCAATCTTCCAGAGATCAAAGAGAGGGAAGTAATTCTGAGGAGAGAGCTGTGATTCCATCAGAACGGATGCATTTCTGTCTCTTGCTCCTAGTATGACTCGGGTGGGGGACGCGAACTTCCCAATTTTGATAAGAATTTTACGACAATATTTCAAAGAATGGGGAGGCCTAAGAAGTCAGGAAAATAATATATTACCTTTACTTTCTGTTACTCTGATAGATGGAACTCTTGAATTTTTTTCTCTTGATTTTTTGATTTATTTATTGCCTTTAAAAATAATCTCTCAATTGATTTGTAATCTTAGGACTACAATGGAGTCTTTCCAAATCTTCAGTATCATTCCTAGGAAACAGACAGCAACAATTTGCCTCCAAGTCAGAGAATCTTGTGAGTCATTCCTAAAGGGCTCCACCTTTGCTTCCTGTGCTATGGCACAGACGATCATCATAACCATGTAGACTGATTGAAAAAAGAACAATGCTAATCTCAACCCTTGTCACTTCCAAGTGTGTCTATATGAAAGTGTTTGGTTAATTTGTATTCTTAAAAAAATGAGCAGAAATATCTGGGAAGGACTACAGGAGAAGGAAAGCTTAAAGCCCCAGGAATTGGAGACACATTCCACGTTAAAATAAAATGGCCCACGTGTAGAAAAATGCACATTTAAACTATTTAAAGGGTGATCATTTCGATTATATGCCCTGATGGCAGACAAGGAGCTTATATTAGATAGATAATATATTTAGGAAATTCATTACAAAGAGCATATATCCTCAAGGTAAACTTTGATTATACAAATATTACAGATGAGAAAGGGAATGCTCTCTGCTTGAAAACTGAATAAACCTCTTAAAATCATCTGGTCCAAAGCTGTACCCCTGAGCTCTCTACTTATAGCTTCTTCACTGCAGTCCCTTTGCCATCTGAACTGATGGGATGAGTGTGCTCTCTCTGCAGTACCTCAGACAAACCTTGGAAGTGGTGTAAAGTTATTTTTCTCACACATACCACAGGCTAGTCTACAGGTTTTACTTTCTAAATATTTTAGATATCTCAAATCCAATTTCTCTCTGGTCTCCACATGCTAGTGTAAACTCTCTCTCCTGTGTTTCCCGTCCTCTCCTGATTAGCATCCTTGCTTCTGCACCTGCCTGTCACTCTGTTCACAGGTAGACTTGTCCTTCCAAATATGTCAGTTCAGGTTACTGCCCTGCTTAAAACCCACCACAGTGATGCTTAATTTTCTTCTGCAGAAAAGTCAAGTTTTGGCAGTATCCTTGCTTTCACCTATGTTAATTTGGGCAATAATACAGCTAGGTCTGACAGAATAACATTATCAAAAGATGTAAGGATCTTAAGCAAGGTTGACTATCAATCCTGCCAGATGAGATTTATCATTTTGTACCTTTCAGGTGCACTGAAACAAAGCAGAAACGTAATTTTACAGCTTTCCGACAATTCTCTCAGCCTGCCCATGGATGAGCAAGAAAGTTCATTATGCAAATGCATTCACTTTTGATTCATATGAAGTCGTTTTTCCATTTGCAGCTCTCTGAGAGCTAGTTTAAAGGCGTTAGTGGTGACCTGGTTCTAATAACTTTCCCATGAAAATGTTGCATTTTCAGTGATTTATTAAGAGAACGAGAGAATAAAATCTGCACTCATTAGAACTAATGTAGCCTTTCTTTGTGCTTCTCCTTTGTCTTTTCAGGAGTTTGGGGATTGGAGATTCCATGTTCATCCTTTTAGGACTTTTGCAAGGTGCTAAAAATTGAGGCCTTGAAATGTAAATATCAAACCAAGTTAGGCAACATTACATGTGACTTTTAAGCTGGTTTACCTCTTACACACTATAAGGCTATATTTCTAGGGATAATTAAATATCACTTTTGCTCTTTTTCCCCAGTTTCCATTTGGTGACCTCTACACACACACATGCATGCTCACATGTATGTTCAAACTCTCACATGCAAGGACATGCAGACTGAAACAAGAAAAAAGTAGATTTTCTCCAATGAGTTTATTATCACCAGGAAATTTCAACAATTGATGTATTTAAGCACAGACACAAACTCAATTTTGTCAATGTTCCTCAAATCTGTGATTTAAATTATTGAAATGGTACAACAAAAGAAATACACATAGAAATACACACATCACACAGTTAAAGTCTCCGAGGTAAGGTGGGAACCATCATTTCCTCAATAGGTGAGGTCTTTAAAAGGCTTCTCATGGTGATGTCTGACACGTGCAGCCGCAAGAGAGCTTTCATTTCCAAGTTCATAGTGGTTTTTAGGCTTCTGGAATCATCCATGACTTTGCATACTAATTTTGATTTTCTGTCTTTTTTCAAATACAATTTTAATATATCGCTAATTCCACTATTGATTTATGGCATCTTCTGTCATTCTAAGTCTTAGGAACATGAACAATTTTCCCTATTTGAAATAAAATTTCTCTATACCACAAAGTAGACATGTAATAGTAAGCACATCTTTTATATATGCCATTGGGTTTGTTTTGTTTTAATAAATGAGATGACTTCTGAACTCAATAATCAGACAAAGAAAAGGACACAAGAGCTCTATTTAAATGAATATGGCAACACCACAGCACAGGCCATTTAATTTCTCTGGGTCTTTGTTTTCTTTTTGATTGAAAATAGCAAGGAAAAATTTGCAAAAATTTGCAAATTGCAAATAGCAAGGAAAAAATTGGTCCCTAAGTTCTCTTCCTGCTAAGACACACAGAAGTCTCTGATTGTCCTGGGATTTCTCAGACTGTTAATATTATCTGGTAATTTTTTCCTCTAAACTCAGCCTCCAGTCTATGTTGAGGGCTCTCTGAATTCTGTGGGTGCTCCATTCTCCTTGAGACACTCTAAACAGAGTCAGGCAGCTTGATGACACCTAAAAATACCTAGGCTGCCTTTCGTTTTTTCAAAAGACTGCCTGGTAATAAAGAAAATGGGGCAGAGAGTTGATAGAATGATGTAATTTTTAAAACAGAGGAATATTTTACCAAGAAAGTACACTTCTCTTCATCAGTATAAGAGAAAATCCATTGCCCATAGAAGTTGATACAAGCTCCTAAATAACCTCAAAATCATTACTGAGTATTTGTGTTATCATGTGCCCAACATGAACTGGGCTTGAAACTCAAGCAAATGCTGATGAAGTGACTGCTAATTTGATCATCAAGAAGTCTGAAGTGCCCTACTGCATGTTGGGAGCATCACCATGCTGGGCACTGCTTAGTGTGGAAATGACAGGTGCACGAGGGTGGGAACCACTGTGGTGGCTTCACCTCCATGTGTGTTTTGCTTTTACAACTTAGAGCGAGATTGATACTGCGGTGTGAGGCAGGGTGGGGTATCCTGAGTCACTGAATACCTTCTGGAGCTTTGTTCGAGTGTCACAACTATCCCTAATCATAATCAGATACAGGTTAATTTCTCACCCAAACGACGCCTTTTAGCCACTGTAACTTCTCCAGAATTTGGCTTAGCCTTTTTTATTCATTTCCTTCTTTTCATAGAGGAAGAGCCTGAAAATTTCATTTTATTTGAGGGGCAGAAGGAGGTGAGAGTGAGAGAGAGGGAGGGGAGGGGGGAGAGGGAGAAGAGGGAGGAGAGGGAGAGGGAGAAGGAGAGGGAGAGGGAGAGGGAGAGAGAGAGAGAATCTCATCTGCTGGTTCACTCCCCAAGTGCCCTGAATGGCCAGAGCTGGGCCACTGGTGGGCAACTGAAGCTGGAAACTGAATCCAGTTCCCCAGAGATCCCTTGTGGGTGGCACAGACTCAATTAGACCTTACGATGCCTCTCAGGGTCTACATAAATAGGAGCCTGAAGTCAGAAGCTGGAGTTGAGCCCCAAACATGAAATGCTGGTGTCTAGCTGCATCTTCTATCTTCTACCAAAAACAAAATGAACTTTAAAAAAAAGCCCTAAAATGAAAGAGGAAATATGTGAAAGGAAAACTAAATTAAAAAGCTAATAAAGCTTAACATTTAGAAATCTAAAAAAAAAAAAAAAAAAATCTGACCCCTGCCTGCTGAAATTCTAATTACAGAAGAACACGCAGTTTATGTCCAGTAGAGGTACTCATACTTTCAGATCAGAAAAGCAATATCTATGGTTTCTAGGTATAGGACAAACAAAAATTAAGTAAGACAACCAGGTAATGTAAAATTTAAATGTAAAATTACATTAGCTTTTATTTGTTGAACACAAATCACAATTCATGATGAGAACACATTACGAGGTGGTAACACAGTTTATCTTTGTATTTGCTCTCTTGCTTGTCAAACTTGCAAAAGAAAACATTTTGAAATTATTCAGGTATTACATGTATTAGATAGTAGAAATGTTGAAAAAGTGGGGTTTTCTGCTTGTAAATATGGATTAGACGTCAATGACTGTCCCAAGTTTGAATAAATGATAATACATTGGTTTGCATTGATAATTCAAATGTCTGAATATATTTCATCATATATATATTGTAATTTGTATCTATTACTATGGCTACCTAACAAATTTAATACTTCTGTAGTATGCAAATATTAAATATTTATCAAATTATGCCAATATATTTATATATTAACTTCTAAATACTCACCAAATTACCTATTTTATAAAGGGTATATTTAGTTATATATTTTTTGCATAAGAAGTATCTTTAACAGAAAAATTTAAGCCATCTGAAAGCATAGGCTGGTTAAATATACCCTTAAGATGAATACATATTAAAATATATCATACATATCTGTGTTTAAATACATATTATATATCATATGCATATATAGGTTCATGCATATGAATGCATTCATTATTATGAGCTAAGTACCAAATACTAAAAGGAAATACATTTGCTTTTGTCAGAAATAGCTCCATTTTCTTCTTTCATAATCATATTCCAAATTTCAGTTCTGTACATTTCACCTGTAACAGACAACTAGAATTTCCAGACTCACTGTTAGAAACTAGAGTTTCCAGACTCACTCCATAACTGCTGTTATGTGTGGTGTTCTGACAAATATCTGGCCAATGAGATGTCCGCAGCACTGTCAGGTCACTTTAGGGCACAGTTTTCTTCCATTTCCAACTTCCTGCTCTGTAAAATGTACACAAGACAGCTCAGTCTCTAGCAGTTGCCAGAGATAAAAGATCCTTAAGAATGGAATCTTATAATGGCAGAAGCAGAATTTTAGATGCCCGTATTCCCCAGAGAGCATGAAAGCACCACCCAGCCTGGACTGCTTATCTAGCGAGTCATTTTCATTGTAGAATGAATTTGCTTTTTTCTTGTTTAAAGAGGTGACTTGCTGACTTTTCTTTCATTTTTATCCTGCAAACCAACTTATTAGGTTGTTATTGTTGATAACACAAAAATACAATAAAACTTACCCAAAGCTAATATTTTGCTTATAAACCATAATTTTCCATTTAATAATTATTTTTAAAAGCCCCATTTTATTAAAACAACTAATTAATTCACTGCATTTCTTGTTTAATAGCACAGGGACCATGGTAATTAAAAGGAGATAACAAGAGCTTTTAGCAGGGGGAATAACGTGAGTCATGGCCGAATCTCTGCTCTCCATGGTATTAATCTAAATGCGAATATGCTCCCACAGAATTGGTTACCTCTTGTGAAGTCAGCAAAGATGGAACTCTTCTGCTCTACGTTTTAGAAAACAACAAAAACTTTAAAAACAAAATATTCAATAAAAGTATAATCGAACTATAGCAACAGTTATTATAGCTATCATAGAGAAGTAGAGATGAACAGTTACTAATTGGGTCCTGGTTGCAGTGATGTTTATGTATTTAATGGAATTCATATACTCTCCATTAACTGAACTTGAGGGTACTCTTCTGAACCTGGTAAAATTCTAAGCAACACTTAAATTATGTGGAACTTAAAAGTATCAACTGACAAGCAGCTGTCTCCAAATGCTAGATATTTAACAGGCCAAAACTCACAAAATTTTAACATCTCCACTCTTGCCCAATTTTTTTCTTGCCATTTATTCTGGTTATGATAAAGTAGATTAAATTAATACTTCTCTGAATTTGAATTCATAGACTTCTGCCAATGTACATCATCATTTGTGTATATGCCAATATGTTAACATTATTCATAAACTAAGTAAATGTGGCAGATAATAGGATGTTATAAACAGCCTTTGCCTTTCATTGTATATTTTTGTTACAGATTTTCCTTCTTAACCATTATCCATGTATCTATGTTTGTTTGAATGTGATTCAAAAATAGAATAGGAAGATATGTATGTGTCATCCTGGCTAGGTTGAGTACAGAATTCTCAGAATCAAAGAATTAGAAGCATAGCTTATTATGGAAACCTAAACCAAATCAAACCAATCCAACAAATAAAGGCTTGCATTGATATAGGCTGAGTCACAAAGAAATTTAGAAGCTTTAGTTTAATAGGAAAAAAATTTCAGACAATTGACCTGTGACTGTATATTCTGGAGAAAAAAAAAAAAAAAAAAAACGCCAGGACACAAGGGTGGATCATGAAGTGCAAGGGATTCTGCTGCTTATCCTAACACAAAATTTCTCAGATAACAACCAGAGGACAATACATTCCATACATGGAAAGACTGACTGATTCAACTCCAAGTCAAAGCACAGAGAGAATGTTAAAGGGAAGTTTTTAATAGCTATACCCCACCAATCTGGTTTGTAAAATATGTATTTGTGTGGTTCACAGCATGATTTGTATACCAAGAAAATCTAACAAGAAATTTTTTTCCTAAACATTATTAAACAAAATTGTACAAAATATAGAAATAAACACAATACCTCCTAAATTTGAAGGTATATATTTCTGTCAATGCACATATACATTATTTAGACAATTTTTCATTAAAACACAAACTGGATAAATATAAAGGAATAATATTGAGATAAAGACTGTATTCCTTAAGGTTTCCTTTTTTTTTTGAGCATGTAGAGACAGTTCTGAGTGTATGAGGACAACCCTGGTGCTTCCAACCATGGGAAGCATCATTTCTGCTTGATTGTTGGTGAAGCTGACACACACTGTTTACAGACTTCAAGGATTTTAGCACTGTATTAGACAGATACATATTGCAAAAAAGATAGATGCATTGCTTTATAGCTCAGTAACTATTATGGGATGCTGTGGTACTTCATTCAGTGCAATGATAAAAAAAAAAAAAAACAGTTAAGTTTCAGAAATGATCTGTTATGACCCCATGAAAAGAACAGATGGCAGGTACTGTGTGAATTCCTACTGAAGCTTCTGCAAGCTGACAATGACTGCTTGGTTTCAGGTTTTGAAGTAAACAATAATCTAATTACCAGCAATGCTTGCCCATTACAATGGGAGGATAAAGTGTAATGGGATAGAGCAACTTCATTTTCAGCAACAGCTGCAGACACTAATCAAACCCAACAGTACCAATTAAAATTAGGAACGAATAGAGCAATGACAAAACTAAGGGGATTCTGTAGGATAACAGGCACTGAAAAACAGCCTAAATGCAACAAAAAAAGTACCCAAATACAGAACATACCACAGAAGAATGGGAGGCAAAGCAATTTCTCTATGAGAACTAGATTAAAGAGATTAAGCACTATCATTAAATGATGTCATCAGAAGATTTTGAGTATTGGCAAGGGTGAACCTTCCTAAGAATCATATAGAGAAGTCTAAAGTCTTCACACAAATGTTGAGGAAATTCTCAGTTCTTGGGCTCTCCAGATCTGTGCAACGCTAAATGTGCTCTGCAGATGGGTGCTTATTCTTTCTTGGCATAAAGACTCTGTGCCTTAATGTGAAGCAGCTAAGTTAGTGTTTACTTCAGCTTTTATTACATACAGCAAGACCTCACTGGTAAAGTGCATTGAATCACATTGTAGAAGATCCATTTATCATTGTGGACTGGCTTCCAGCAATCCTGTTAGCAGCACCTCCAGAATTCATTCCCCTTAGAAATGATACTAACAAAATGCTCACAAAAATATAGTCTTTATTTTGAAATAGATTCATTAATTAATACTTTACATATTGTAACAATTGACATAAAGCCAAATCAGGAATAAAAACACAATAGTATTTGATCAGAATTCAGAAATTATGAAATGTAATGCAATATAGAAATAAAAATAACAAATGTTTACATAATTAAAGAGCATTTAAAATTTATAGTAGGTGATAAATTTAAATTTTTCATAAAAATTACCATATAATTAAATAGCTACCTGAAACCAATATTTTTAATTCTAAATGTAAACATCATTGAAAAATAAATATTTTCTTTATCGATAAAATCAAAGTGATGTCATTTACTTTATTGCCTCATGGGCAAAATCTAGTAGTTTCCTTATTTGTATTTTTGAGATCTTCCATATGCCATATACACTGAGCTTCAACTTTAATATATGATATCCTCCAATCATGCCTCTTCCTCAAGTGCACTTTATTTAGTTAGAAAATCCTCATAAGTAAAGTGATCAGGCAGATCATTCTAGATCCAAACTTCATAGCCATCATGTAAATAACGCCCTCACCTACTCAGCACAATCAAGGACATTCAAACTCAGCCTTTATGCTTCTTTCCTTATTTGAGAGGTAGACAGAGAAAGACGTGGACTGATAGACTGAGAGAGCTCCCCTCTGTGCAGAAAGTACCACAGAGCAGAGCTGTGAACACACTGTCAGAAGGCCAAGCTGGAAACTCAGGACTAACAGATTCTTGTTTTCCCATTGTTGGTTCATTCCCCAGTGCCTTCAACAGCAAGGACCGGATTCAGCCAAACTTGGGAGCTAGGGATTCAATCTAGGTCCTCCAAGTAAGTGTCAGGGACACAACTATGCTGTCTCCCACAGTCTTCATTGTCAGCAAGTGGGGTCAGGCCGCAAGCTGGGACTTGGCCCAGGCACTCCAACATAGGATGTGGTGTCTCATCTGCTTTGCCAAATGCTTAACCTACTTGTGTTTTATAACGGCACCCAATGTTGCACTATAGCAGACGATTTATTCATTAATTGTCAAGATTTTATGTATAAATTAAAATAAAATCATCACGTCATATAAAATAAGTTTTCTGTTATAGGAGTTTTTTATGGAAATATCTATTATGTTTAATGGTCAGCAAATGAAATTACACATATATAAAATTAAGAAGAAAACTATCAATTTAATTAAGTAACCACTGATTATTATTTTGTAGATCTTATATCTACTCTTTACCTAAGATACTTGTATAGGTGTAGAATCATTTTGGCATGTTTTTCTTTTTAAATCATTTAGTGATCCATGCACAAATGTGCAACTCATTATGGTCTCCTACAAACCACACATAAAATGATGTTTCATAATGAAAATGGGAGCACATGGGATACTTTCCTTGCTCCTCACTTCTGTCCCAGATTCACTCTTTGTTCTAGCCCCATTTGAATTACTCTTTCTTGATCCTTTCTTGACCTTGACTAAGTACATCAATCCTTGATCCTTTGCCATTCCCTTCACACTTCATGTGTTATTTTAAACGTCCTAAAAGTGTTTATGCTCTACTTATAAGACAAGATCATAAGCCTTTTTAAGGTTAGAAATAATGTTACATATCACATTGTGCCCCCAAGGACCTGGGTCAAAGGAGCTCCTATACAGAAAGTACCACAGAGCAGAACTGTGAACAGATTGTCATACAGAACTAAGCTGCAAGCTCAGAACCAACAGATCCTTTTATTTCAAAACTGATACTCGAGATCTGTGTTATATAAAATAACACCTTGATCATAGACAAACTGGAAACTTTTTGTAGCCACTGCCACTGCTACAAATGCATTACAAAGAGAAACATGATATGCATCATTAGTCATTATATTTATACACTTCAACAATAGTAGGACAAATGGGTTAATTATTTATGTGTAATAAAGGCAAAGAACTTAAGTATCAAAAAATGAACCTGAGCTTTTTAAAATTACAAGAAACATTCTCATAACATATAGATTCCCTCAACCATTATTTTAGGAGTGGCCATTTGGCCTGGCGATTAAGAAATATGTTAAGATGCCCAAATCTCTCATCGAGAGCTTGCGTTTGATTTCCAGT